TGTATTCTTATTTTAATTAAATACTTCAAGTAAATAATCTTCGCTGGCCAGTTGTCGTTTGAACCTAATTTCTTAAGACATTTTTGGTTTCACACTCCATACTACTTATGCAAATTACTAGAAGTAGCGAGTAAGTAAATAATAATGTTGGTAGTATGTGTTTTGAATCTCAAGCGTTGTAACTGCTAATATGCTATGAAGGAAGACTTCATGTGTCATTTTATTCGTCAGCCTCACGGAAGGAGATGCATTCAGGTTGTGTATATATTTTGGTTGAAGTTCTCAAGGTGAACAATTATAATGGAATTTAAACAAGGTAACCATATAGAAGCCCCTCAATTATTCGGACCATTGTTCCTGCTGTCTAGCCTCATATTCATTCAACAGATCTGTCAGGCTCCTCGAATCAACCAGCTGTAGAAGATTACGCAAGCCTTAAGCTTTGCTGGTTCAGGATTAACGTTAGGTTTTATTTTAATTACACTGAGTTATGACTGCTTTATCTCATACTCTGATTTACATGAACACACGCACATATGCTCAAGTACAAGTGCTGAGATTACTATGAAAAATAACTATCCAAACCATCTAATAGCTATCTTCCTGTGTCTACTTAATTTCGTTTTGAGTTGTGGGTATAGGTACAGCATGGGGATAGAGCGGGCTGGTCTTTCCCACTTAGCGTTAGCTTTAATCACCTGCAGCTCTAATGACGTCTGTAAGTCGGCATAGCGGATGGATGCTCGGCTCGTGTTCACCGGCACCGAAGGAGGATTTCTCAGAGACTGCATTAACCAAAACGTTGTGGTAAACATAAACCAGTGCAGGACTACGAGAAACAGACGCTTCTATATGAAAGGACAGCCACCACAACAATGTAGAATCGTTTTCAGTTTTCTCAACATTGAGCAAATTTCTATCCTTTTTCGTGGATTTTTCTCAACATATAATGAATAAACAGATAATTTAAAAATTGATAGGAGAATTCCTTATAAAAATCGTCTAGCCTTATCTAGAAAACTCAATAATATCCAAGTCATTATTTCTGTCTATTATAATTAGTAAATATGAAGTTTATGTGAATGAAAGAAGGATAAGTATGAATTGTTTGATTGAAGATATATATGAGATACGCCGAAATTTCTGTACGAGTAGATAATTTTTATAATTGCATTACACTCATACTGATAGTAGTTTCACCCTAATTGTCCCATTTTTTATGTTTACTTCATGCTACACATTTGTTTGTAAATGAAAATTTCGCCCAATTCTTGTTTGTCAGTTTTAATATTTTTTATCCGAACACAGATTTATGTACAGGAATATTGTTCGAACTAATATAGATATAGTAAATTGGAAACTCCATTGGTGATGTATGCAAACAAGCAGATTAAAGTCAATTTAAGGTGAAATTTGATTTAAATGTTGGGCTCGTATGATGTGCTCGCACCCCTATTAAGAGGACCGGTACATGTTCGGGCAAACAAGTTGTTGATACTGCCTTCATCTCTAGGTTGGGATATGCTCATAAGAAACACAAGGCAGCATTATTAAACGAACGGAACGGTAGATGCTAAGTTATTTGTTGTTCGTGTGCATAGTATGGTAACACTATTTTTTCTTCTATTCATTTACTCATTTTTTAAAATGTTTCTTTTAATATACCGGGGAAGCACTAATTTTGCCAGCAATCATCCTCTTTTTAGCTTCAACTTCTTATTTTCACAAGTTCCATCAATTGATTTCGCCAAGACCAGCCTCTTTTTCATCACCATTAGTATCTATGGGAAATCCAGATTTTTACATTTTTACTTCAAAGAGGATGTTCCTGCTAAACCTTTGAAAGTTAATCTGGACTTGGTATGAAATGTGGACCAAATGAAAATGTTGCCAATTATTAGCATAGTCAGCTTCCCTCGAATCTGCCCAATCCTAAAATTTCTGTTTGCTCCCTTCCTTTAAACGGTTTTCCTTGAACTGATTAGTCGGAATACGAAATTGGTATCAAAAGGTTTCGTGATAATGATGCAGGTCTAATCTACTCATAACTTTTCAGATAAGCGAATGACTAAGGACAACGGCCAAATTAGAACAATGATATATTTGCCCAACTTTTAACCATAAACAAGACTATTTGAGGTTATTATTAAGTTAGCTTATCGTTCCTAAACTTTCTTTGGTTTAACTCTCCGGAGGCGGAGCTCACCAAGCACTAGAATAAGTAGCCTTAGGAGCAAAGAATCACAAATCGTGAGCAAGATTTAAGGCCGGTAGGAAAATTCTGAAATCCCACACACTTTGTAAAATCGTCTAGCCAGTGGTAAATGCTATTAAGTCATTAAGTCTAGGTCGAGTTTTGTGGTACACACAAGAGTAAATGTGGTTGTTCGGGTATTCTGAAAGTTAAGGGAATGCTTCTGGTGACTGACTCAATAATCGGGCCCAGCAGCATTAAACGAACCCTATACCCCCATGGATGCCTTACAGAAAACAATCGGACTAAGGCAGTGATTTCTGCTTGGAATAGATCAGTGCACTTTTGAGCTCTTTCTTTCTTTTTTCCGTTTTTGACATTTTCACTTTAATACTGCCTCCGACCTGCTGTCCATTCCTTTGGCTACACATCTCTATAGCTGCTCTTCACTCTGTACTTACTTTTGGCCAGCAGCCGATTCACAATTATATTCGAAACTTTCGCTAATTCACACTGTTTCCTTTCTCTTAGCTGATTCACACATCCTCAGCTCATTAGTCTTATTGCTTTTAGCAACTCATCCATTTCTAATTATTTCTTTACTACGTGTCTGAATGCAAGTCTATCCGTCCATCTCGCTGACTGTCTGACAAGCAGGTCCATAGGTTTTGCTCTTATGTCGACCTGTCTGTTTGTCTGTCTAACTATCTGCCTGTCTGTCTGTCTGTCTGTATGCTTGCGTGTTTTGTTAGTCTCGCTGCTTGCCCATCCGTTTTCTGCGCGTTTGCCTGTCCATCT